ATCTACTTTTCAAGCAGTTTGGACAGACATACGTGTAGATATAGTGTTAAGACCGTCCTATTAGGGTGATATAAACACACCCAGTCATTTTTTTTTCAATTTAACAACAATTAAAACTGTGGATCAATTGGAGCAGTTTTCAGGCTGACCGCAACTTGACGTAGGAGTGCGGTCCCCCCGCCCACCAATATTGATTAACAGCTGCGTATTAACATGTCCGGGTAGTCATGTGCATAATCACATCAACGTGCGCAAAGCACCAGAGAATAAAGGTATGTTCAGTTTGCTAGGATCATTAATCATCATCAAATGTGATCAAGAGTGAGTTTAAAATACTTTAAAACAGTGCATGTGTGTAATGAATTACAGCAATTTACTTCAGATTTACTTCATCAGCTATGTGAGATCTTCTTCCTTTATTTCTGTCTGTTGTCTGAGCTGAGCTGAAAAATACATCAGGGCTAGTGAGATCACAAGGGCTTCCGGTTACATGCTTTTATCATGTGGATACACCCTGCACAGCAAAAGGATGTGGCCAGAGGTGCTATAAATGATGCCATCCAAATGCTGCTGTTTCCACAGAGCTTGTTCTGTTTCTTTATTTAGGCTTCCAATGGACACGACACAAAGAGAGAAGTGCTTACAGTTTAATGTTAATTATGTTCTAGAGAATTATAAAAATATATATAGCAAGCATTTGACAAAGGAGAACTTCCAAAATCCCAGTTCAGTACTGAATTCGGCTAAAAGCTCCTCAAAGGAGCAGCTCCATAAATTGTTGGATAAAACACAGTAGTGGTCGGTTATTCTGGTGTAATTTGAACAGGAGCGGGCAGTCTAACAATATAGCACTCCTGAGTGCCGACGTTAATTTGGAACAGCATATCTGTGATTTACTCATACTTTTTCAGGTTTACAGCGCATTTATGCTGTGCAAGGATTGTAGGCTAAATGTCTATTTTGGACCCACAAAGGGCCAAAACTGACATTTAGCCTACAATCCTTGCACAACATACAGTTTTGTCTGTTATTTCTCTCTTTTGGTAGTGCCCAATTTAAACGTGAGATTTTGGAAACCAGATCTAAATTTAGCAGAAATGGTTGGGTCGGGTAGAAAACTGGGCGGGTTGAGTAAACAAAAGCTAAAATAAGGCGGAGAGGTCGGGTGCAGTATAAAACCTTGCAGAAGTGGGCTGGAGTGGGATTAAAAAATTGTCCCGTGCAGATTTCTACCGCACATTACATCAAAAAACTTTTCTTGCATTCACGTCTTTTACGGGCAACATTTACTTCCTGAGATTGATTTTCCTCTTCCATTTTTATCTATTTAAGGACAAATTATTTTTTAAAATACTTTAGAAATCTGCATAGTGACCCATATATTAGCACATCTACACCCTCTCCAGTATTGAGTCTTGCTACTGCCACAGACGCGCACTCAAGCATATACAAAGATCTGCAGCCTTCCAAATCACTGGCAAAGCATTTGCATATCTGCATAGAGCCACAGAATGTACAAGGGTGTGTGTGTTAGGCAAAAGGTGTGTGTATGAAGGAAAGACAGCGAAAGAAACACATTTTACATCATCGCAGCTCTAATTGTTATTGCCTAAATGCCATCCTTTTAAGATACAAACCAATTCAGCTGTCAAAACGGTCAGTCACGGGTCATGGCACCAAAAACTCTAATAACAGACTGCCACCCTGACTCTACTCATGTGCTTAGCGCTCAAGTGCTTCTCCATCAGCGATAACCAACTCTAATTGCTATCAGACTTGATGCATATCAAAAGAGACTTTAAAACCTGAGCAAGAGTGAACTAGAGATATTTCACCATAACAAAAACAACATACAGTACAATTCTGCTATTCACTCACCTTTATGTCGTTCTAAACCTGTATGACTTGCCTTCTTCTGTGGGATGCAAAGAAACTACAGTAATCCAAAAAGTGTCACTTTGTCAATGCAATTGCAATCATCAAGGTCCAATGTAACTTTGCACCCCACTGACTTTCACAGTATGGACTACTCTGTCTTGCAGAGTGTTTAAAATGACAAGAAAGTGAGAAAATATTGACTAGGTATGCACTAATATGGAAAGGTTAGCCAATACTGGTAACCTCTTATATTCAGATAGTGATAGCCTATTCCCCTGAAGGCAACATTTATAGCCCTCTTGTCTAAATTGTTTTAATTTTAGAATTTTCCCAAGTGCTTTTTAAAAGAGCAAAGAAATGTTTAGAGATTTTCCCTTTTTCTCTTCTTCTAGAGAAAGGCCCAGTCCCAATTCTATTTTATACCCCTACCCATTTCCCTTGACCCTCGAAACAGAGTGTGAAGGGGAAGGGCTTCAAATTTAGATAAGGGACAGCACTACAGCACCTGCACACATCATCATATGTCATCACAATCTCTTGCTTTATATGAGATCGACGATGGTGTTACTATATCAATATAATTTGGCAATAAGATCATGTACTGTGCATTTACACTGTGGCCATATTCATAAACACATGAAAACAATATTAACCTTATAGCAGAGGTCATTCTCAAAAAAAGGTAAAAAAAAGATAAAAAGGTCATTCTCAGCTACTAGACTTATTTCATAAGGGTATTCGAGTGTCATCGAGTGACAATGTTGTGGGACAACTATACAAAAGTTATTATTATGGATTATAGATACTGAAATTTAGCGTTTTTTTAAAGCATGACAGTAAAACACGAACGCGGTTATGAATGTATTAAAACATGTGCTTGTTTGTTGTTAAAATTCATAAAAATGACAAAAAAATACTAACTTGGGCATCATCCTGATTTTAGTGTGCAGCCATTTTGCCGTTGTGGCTGGTGTATTCTGGGAAATGTTCTTACCCCTTGGTTTCGAGTTTGCTCCTAAGAAATCTCCATTTCAAGGGCTATCTAACCCTTCCCCTAAGCCCAACACCTTTAACCTAAAGATAATTGGGACACCCCTTCACATGAACGCACAAAGAGGGGTAGTAGGGGTAAGGGTAAGGGCTAAGGGGTAGAATTGGGATTGGGCAGAAGTTTTAATCCTTTTAGTTTTGCTGGAATAAAAGTAGATTTATATCTCTTTTTTTTAAGTCTTACAATTTCAAAGGTCAATATTATTAGCTCGTTTACATTATATATAAATATTCTATCTATCTATCTATCTATCTATCTATCTATCTATCTATCTATCTATCTATCTATCTATCTATCTATCTATCTATCTATCTATCTATCTATCTATCTATACTATAATATTTTAATTTTTTTCCCAATTGGCTACAGAACGAACCACTGCAGTGCTAATTTCCCAAGTTAACCTAAATAACCTAGTTAAGATTTTAAATTCCACTTTAAGCTGAATACTAGTATCTTGTAATATATTTAGTGAAATAGTGTGCACTGTGATGTCATAGAAAAGACAAAATAATTAAGAATTAGAAATTGTTCGAAATTCGACTATTACAGTTTGTTTACAAGTGTGTTGAAAAACTTACAATTTCACAGGAAGGGTAATAAGAATGCCTTCAACTATACATAGAGTTGAAAAGAGGGGAAGAGGCCAATTAATATACAGTGGGGAAAAATATGTCGCCATTTTTCTCAGAAAACATATTTCTAAAGGTGCTGTTGACTTGAAATTTTCCCTGAATGTTGGCAACAACCAAAGAAATCCATATATGCAAAGAAAACAAATCTAATTAGCTTACAAATTAAGTTGTGTGCAATATAATGAAATGACACAGGGGAAAAGTATTAAACACATGAAGAAAGAGGGGTGTAAAAAGGCAGTGAAAGCCCAGACAGCAGCTGAAATCTCAGTAATTCTTCAACAACCCTCTGCCCTTCCTTATTGTAAATGAATATTAGCTGCCTCAGTTCAACATCTACATTCCCAGGATGATTACGATGAATCCAGGAGGGACATTTTAGCAAGACAGTGATCCAAAATACAGCCAAGGAAACTCTCAAATGCTTTCAGAGGAAAAAAATCAAGTTGCAGAATGGCCCAGCCAATCACCTGACTTAAGCTCAACATAAAATACAAATTAAAGATCAGAATAGATAGACAAGATCCACAGAAAATTTCTACACTCTGTACATCCCGCTGTAAATGGATTTTTAATTTAAAACCTTAACTACAGCAAAACCATTAGCAAATTGTAATCGTAAAGTATCCAATTTTTTTTCCTTACTGATGAACTCCCACACTGCCAACATCTTGTCTTGTCCACTACCCTTAACATTTGTAAAGTGTGATTCTTCTGTGTTCGACGTGCGAAATGTAAAATCCATATTTTATCTGCTTTACTATACCGGGCCAATAAAGACAACAGTAAAAATAAACAATTACTAGCCAGAACTAATATGGTCACCAATATATCCTGTATGCCTAATAATGACAGCACTCTTCCTAATGATCGGGTATCCCTCTAACAGAGATGAAAGACATGAAAACACCAGCCACATGCCAATGGAATTACACCCAAAAGGCACTGGGCTGCTCTTTCTGTGCAGACCGATAGCAATATGGATGACATAACGCAAAAACAGTCCTGCTCTACCTTGTTCAAGACTAAATATTCGGTTTCACCCTGTAACGTCCCATTTCATTAGCGAACAGCATTTCATGTTTTCTTTGAGGGAGTTGTGTGTCTTTTATCTCTTTGTGTCCACTCTTTTACACTCGTCCCGTTAGCGGCCCTGCGGGTCAAGAGTCTGACAGACCGCAGACCATTCAACCTGCTGCTGAATCAGCTTTCTTTCTGTGTGTGTGTGTTTTGACTATGAGATGAGTCCAGTGGTGTGTGTATGTGAGCTTTGTCTGAATGTCCCTGAGAGAGTTCTGAATGCAGAGTTAAAAAAAGGAGATTAAAGCTTGCTCTACTAATGGACCACCACAAAAAAATGCACACACAGACACGTTCATCCATCCCTCCCCTCACCTCCTGCTAAGAAAAAAAAAGAAAAGACAGAAACCGCAAACCTTGCTCCTCGGTCTCACAGTCGTCTTTAAACTGCGGAGAGGTGAGCGTCACCTTCAGCGTGAGCTTGGGTTCTGTTGTGGTGCAGACTAAGATGGCGGCCTCAGGAATACACTGCTGTACCTCATACTTCTCCTCCGTCAGCTTCTGCAGAGGTCAGAGGGTAAAAGTGTAAAAACAAATGACTCTGACTTATTTGCAATAATGGCTTTATAGTAGTTTTGAAATAGTTCTTGCTTAGATCAGTTTGATTTCAGTTAAGACTAGTTAAACTTTTTTCAAACTAGAATATAAATTAGGTTAAAACGGGATTGCCAAAAGTATAAAATTCGGTACCAATAGGTTCATTTGTCTCTAACATTTGAGCAATGTTGAGTGCATTCCTAAACGTGCGTTCTTAAAAATTTCTGTACTAATTGGTACCCAACTTGTTACTTTTGACCAGTTTAAAACAGAAGGAATGATGATTTCTATGTGTTTGTTTTGGCTGGAAAAACCTTTTACCACAATGCAGAATGACAACTTTATGAAACTCATTCAGATCACTTTGTTTTCAGTTTAAACTAATTGAACATGTTTACAACTACATTTAACATTTGGAAATGATTTGATGCACTGTGTAATCAGGGCACTCCAATCTGCGACTAAGTGGCTGGGTTTTTTTAAGTTTCAGTATTAGTTTTAGTTTTTTTTGTAAAAAGGATTTTTGTTAGATGCAAGATTCAAAATCATCAGAATAAATATTATCTTAAAAAAGATCCTCTCATTTAAGCCCTCAGTTTACTCGCGCTGCAGTTGCTCAAGTTTAGTTCAGTCACAGCAGGCTGCCATGTACTGTTTGTGTTAGGTTCACCTGCTGAATCACGCACGTGCAGTATTATCAGTTCGCCGGTTCTCAAATCTGATCTCTGTGTACTGTTCTAATATCTGAATAACTCAGGAAATTGGTTTATTTCGAGTCAGAGGGGGGTATCAGGCTTGTTATAATACAGTAAGTAATTTGTAGATGAATGGTTACTGAAGACGCAAATTGTTTCAAATGATCAGTTCAATTTGGCTAACTTTTTATTGTAAACAATTGTTTTTATTATTTTAGTTTTTGTTTAATATAGACAGCATAGAGCGAAAGACCATATCATAAAACCCCAAATCACCACCCCCCACCCAGGTAGACTTGTTCTATAATGACACAAGTTAAAAGCTTGCTTTGTAATAATAAAAATAATAAAAAAATAAATAAATAAAGAATATTGTAAAGCCAAATACAGAGTAGAAGTTAAGCAAGTACAAATAAATAACTGTTACATCATAAGATACATATAGACCAAATAAACAGAAAAGCTATTGATTAGAAGAAAGAAACGGATTTGACCATATCATAAGCTAAATTCCAAGACTGTTGAAAGTTCCATACAAATAATAGTTCAATTTGGTTCACTCATTCAACCGGTTCACTTACAGTAGAAGATCCGGTTAGAAAGAACGATTCGTTCGTGATAGCAATTACTAATACAAAAATAAAACCCATTATTGGGCACAAATGTGTTATATTAATACTTTTAAGTGTCTTCTCAGGTCATATTTAATGCTGCTACTATGCTGCTCTCATGTCCACTCTCTAATTTTCGTCACAGGAGCAGGACCGGCTTGATTGAGAGGGTGCTCGCTGCAGAGCCATTTGAGCAGAGCTGAGCTCCAGTGAGGGGGAGCATGAGCTCTCGTTCTGCCTCCTGTAAGCTGTTTTAATGCGTACACCAACCCCACCCCTTACCCTACCCCCAGTGACATCACTCGTAGAAGAAGTGCAAAAAAGGTGGAGCTCAAGCTCAAGCTCCCCCTCGCTGGAGCTCAGCTCGCCCAAATGGCTCTGCAGCGAGCACCACTTGGCTTGATTTGCCAATGGCATCAGGATTACAGACTCTGGGGTGCCGTACAAGTCAAACACCTGACAGCGCAAATTACACTGTAAAAAATGCAGGGTTCCACACAATTCATTCATGTTGTCCCAACACAAATTGATTTAGCTACCTTAACACTTTTAACAAATTTATGTAGATTGAACATAAAAAATTAAGTTGTCCCAATGAAATCTCAAGAATTGTGTCATTCAGCTCATTTTAATTAAGTAGATTGAACAAGTAAAGAAAAATGTTTTTTGAGTGTAAACAGATTTACTTCTGAAAGGCATACAGTAGGTTTATGTATGAAATACAGTACATTACCAAATACAAAAACAAAGGAGGTTTCTGCTATAATTTTAGTTCGTTTCAGTTTGTTTTGCATGTACACAATACAGTTTCAGTTAGATCTATTTTCATTTTTTTCATTTGCTTTCGTTAACTATAATAACCTTAATACCCACTTTATAATGAATCTCAACTACGCAGCATTGAACATTGATTTGAATAAACCAGATATTAAACATGGCAATTTTATTTTGGTGTACTCTATAACTATACTGGCAGCCAGACCCAGGCTTATTCAGAATTAAAAATCTCCATGAATAAGGTTAATTGTCAGAAATGTGGGATATTCATATCAAACAATATTATATAATTAATTTATAACATATAGTATGAGAGTAATGTCGTTTAATTACTGTATTATTGTTGATACGTCATTTTCATTTGTACTAAATGTCATTAGGTTGTGGTTATTTCATAACAAATCTCAAATGTCAAAAAGTGCTGACACATACAGTACTGGCCAGGAATCTAGCGGTTATGTATTTTAGTATCACATGTCCACAGCTGCTCCCATCCCCACAATGCCTTTACAAGCATGTTTATGAGGTGGCACATAAACGCGCAGATGCTTGCTTTAATGTAATCCAGTTTGATGTGGGGGAAGACTCCGTAATCCGTTCAATTAATTCAAGCCACACACTTCCAATCCGCCTGCTCTTTTCATGTAAACCAGAGATCAATTACAGCTCCCACTGCAGTGATCCGAGTGTGCGAGTGTGTGTGTGTTCGGACATACCGCAATGCAAAGCAAATTTTACCACACACATTCACACATTTGAGGAAAAAGCGAAGGCAGGAAGTGTGTCTATCACTCAACTGCTGATGCAACAGCTCTGACTGAGAGAGGAAGGGGAAGACAGGAAGTGGAGGAAGGGAATGTTGCTCCATTAAGAACAGATCCGTTAAACGGAGACTTGACCTGCTGGCAGGACAGTGTGCTTTAATGGGATTTGTGTCTGGGGTCTTTAATGTGTGTGTGTGTGTGGGTCACCGCTACTGATCGCCCCGTCACCACAGCCTGTCCGAAGTGTCTAATTAGGGAAGCTGGTTGCTGGCAGGTTTTCATTAATTACACATGATGAAAATAAATAGAGCAGGTCTGTTTTTTGGGTGTTCGGCAAGGTTTCATTTTTTTTCAAAACACTGCAGGGCTGTTGGGTCTCTTGTGGGTCACATGCAAATAATAACAGAGGAGAATCGGTAAACAAGAAACCACAATGTGATGTGATGTGATAATTACTCCCACATAAACGCATATTAGTGTGTTGGTCATTTAAATCCTAAAGCTTACCCATTTAAACAAGTAAAATAGCAGCTTTATAGCACAGATAATGTTTCACAAGCACAAATTAGAATTTTTTTTAATACTATTTTATATAAAGTATCATTTAATTCTTGCCCCATATATACCATTAATTACTGTTTGCCTATGGGTACAAAAGGGTTTTATATATACAAATAATTCCTTTTTGAGTTTTATTTACATGCTATCATACACCCGGCACCAATGCAGCACAAGGCGCAACGAAAATTATATTTGCTAGTTTCAGCTCGACGCAAGTGTCATTTTGACGTTTTGCGTCACGCTGTTTAAATAGCAAATACATTTGCGCTCATTTGTGCGTCCATAGGCATTCTGGGTTTAAAAAAGAGGTGTGTTAAGGCGCATATCTGGCGCGTTGGTTTTTTGAGGAACTAAAGTAGACTGTGCAATAGTCCAGCTTAAAGCAGGTCTAAAGTCCAGTGCAGAACGATTTAGCTGTGCGCCTCGCTTATTGCTTAATACATACATGATGTACAGCAATACACAAATATCTTTACAAATAAAAAATAATTAAAGGATGAAAATATTCCAATAATTACTATTTCATACATAAATATAAAACTACTGCCTCCATGCCTTCTTCATTGGGGGGGAGGCATTCATGCTTTTGTGTAATGTTAATATTATTAGCATTATTGTTTATTATTTGCATATTTATTATTGTTTTATGAAAAACAAGCTTAGATTTGACCACCTGTCAGGTGTTAGGTCATATGAGGCATAGCATATGTATTTGGATATAACTTTGTTGTTTGACCACACTTCGGTAATATTTTTTCATTTATTAGTTTGCTGGAAATTAAAACTGAACTTAGAAATAGTTTTGAAACTAATATTTGTACTTAACAAAAATTAATTGTGTAGGCTAATGGATGTCTGTGCGTACAGCACCGTCTCCTTATCTACAAAAGAGCGAAAGAGAACGTGAAAGTTAAGGGGCCCGGTGTAATGCGGGACACAATTGCTGTTTGCTATTTTCAGCTGGACGTTTGCTTTTGTATAGTGTTATTAGCAGTAGTAGTATTTTTTATTATATGCATATTTATATTTGTTTTATTAAAAACAAGCTTGGATTTGTACAACTGCATGTGTATTTGGATATAACTCAGTTGTCTGACCACACTTAGTTATTATTGTTCATTTATTCGTTTGCTGGAAATTAGAACTGAATTTAGAAATAGTTTTGAAACAAATCTTTGCGCTTAACAAACAAAATTAATTATATTGTAGGCTATGGATGTCTGTGCACACAACACCTTTCCTTATCCACAAAAGTGAGTGAAAGTTAAAGTAAAGAATGAGGAGTTTCATCTCTCATTCTTGTACTGTAGATGGTCTGTTTAACTGTTTGTGAACAAAAAAAAATTGTGATTACTTTTTCATACATCACCCTTTTAAAATATTTTTAAACATTTTTTCACAGATTTGTTTTTATAATAAAAAGATATAGGGAGAGATGCAGAACTATTTTCCTATCTGCATTAAATATTTTTTACAGTGATTACAGAGATCATCTTTAAGACAATAAATACTTACTGCATGAAATTTGTACAAAATCTATACTAAGATTAAAAAGT